GGTCAATAGTGTAGTGGTTAGCACTCTATAGGTCAGATCACAAGATACAAATTCAAATCCTCCAGGAGGCAATGCCTGAAGTTTGGTAGAACTTATATCCATTGGTCTAACCAAGTAAAACACAGACTTCTGACATTTCTGCATATAACCATATGACAATCAGAAGGGGACTAATGTCACTTATGATACAGTCTATATAAAGATTGTGATCTGAAGATCAAAATCACAAATCGACTAGGATTATCCTGACTTAATCATGTTATCTCTAGTGGTAAGTTAGGAAATGGTAATAAGAAGAGTAGATCTAATCAACCAATTGGGTACTGCTGACTATCACGTACTAGGCTATGAGCACTTCTATAGCCAGCACTATCGGGAGGCCTTAGTGGGAGAAGAAATCTGCTGACTACTTCGAAGGATCAAAACACCGGATCCAGGATAAAGAAAATTTGATGGCCTGATAACCAACCTACTCTTAATAAAAACTGACTGGAAATAATCAAGAAGGAATTGCACAGTTTCCCGAATAGGTAGTGCTTATATATATAGTATAATCAATATAACTAGCTATATATAGATAGATATTAAAGAATAGTTGATATATATAGTACTTATTTAATGTACACATAGTATAAGGAAGTAGTTCATATGTATAGATAAACAGGAGATATGAATGAAATATACTATACAGTTACCGAGTAAACTTATGAGGTTTGAGGGAGCTTTAAGAGTTGTATGTAATATAAAAAATATTAAATAGAAACTGTGGGTGCATTTGCGTATTTTTAGATACTCCCCTTTTCTTTATTTTCCCTTTTCCCTTTTGTAGTTTCTCAAATTCAGTTCCTTGAAGGATAATAAGCAGTGACAACCTGCTAGCAATAATGGGTAAGTTAGGAGGGTCTTTACCCAAAACTTAGTTCAGAGCGAAATATTATCCCCAAGGTTGCACTTAGAGGCTAAAGCTCTTTTGAGAATTGAAAGCCATTGATGAGTGTATCAGTATGAGATTTTAGTTTAGCCATGATGCAATTGCCCTATATATCTCAATTGGTTTTCTCAATGATTAATAAACACACAGTATTGATCTAATCACAGGTAAAAAAAAAAAAAAAAAAAAACTAATAGTTTATTACTATAAATTGTTCATAAATCATGAATTGTTAAGTTAAAAAGAAAAAAAAAAAAAAAAATAGAAAAGAAAACAATTCATGGTTTCATTAAAAAAGTTCAGAAAGAAAGTAATTCTTCTATTAAAAGAATCTATCTAATTAAAATAATTTTCTTATTTCTCTTGAACCTTAGAAAATTTTTTCTTTATTATTATCTATAGTATTGAATAAGTCAATTCAACTAGTTTTTTATTTATATGAGTATCAGATTGAGATATTTTTAAAGAAGTATTCAAATCTTAGCTTTTATTTATTAAAACTTTGTTATCAATTAAGAAACTTATATAAAAGATAAAAATTTGCAATCTATATTATATATCTTTTGATTTTTTGATATTATAGATATCTTTTTTAAGGAATATGAACTTCTGGAGATAAATATTTCTAGAATATTTTTCTAATTATTAATGATATATTGAGATATATAAATATGATCAATAAAAGCTTGTTTATAGTTTAAAAATCAATATGTTTTATATTAGTCAATCCTCTGATAAAAATGATACTAGTCCAAAATTCAAGATCAAACCAAGATAGATAAAATTTTTCAGAAAATCATAAAAGTGAAAGCTCTAAAAGGGCCTAAACAATTAGAAAGAAAGAAAATAAACCTTTTTATTGCAATAAAATCTTTATAATCTCTTGTTTTAAAGATTTAAAAAATCATTAAGTACTTTGTATTTAGTTTTTTTTTCTTTGGAAACTTTTTTACTATTAATATTAAAAATATTACTTGACTTTTCTTGATTAGTAGAAGTCAAGTTTTTGAGTGAAATAGTTTATAAATAAGAGAAGAAAAATAAGAATGATCTTTAAAGTTATACTTTAAGTTATTTTAATAAAAATATTATGACTTTATTAATAAAGAAATAAAAAACTCTTTGCAAATAGTTTTTTATACAGTATGTAATTAGAAAATTAGCAAAAAGAATAACCTTTTTTACTTTTTTGCCAGCTCAGTTATATTTATTAGTAATAATAGAATAAGATATAAAATATATTAAAATTACTATAACTATTAAAAATACTATTAAACTTTTTAAAACTAAATATTTACTGAATCATATTTTACTATTCAAACTAAGAAAAACTATTCTAAAATTATTTTAAACTAGATTAGAAATATAAAAAAATATATTAAAGAGCTATCAGATAAAAATCTAAATTTTTTTTATTAATAACTGAACTATCTATTAAGATCAAAATTAAAAAAAAAAGGTAATATTAATGAATTATCTATTAAAGTTTTTTTATTTTTTTAAAAAAAGTTAATATTAATGAATTATTTATTAAAGTTTTTTTATCTTTTAAAAAAAAGGAAAAAACTTTTTTATATTTTTTTCTTTTTTAGATGTAAAAAAAATAGTTATAAAAATCAACTTTATTGATATTATTTTATTTGAAAGTTTGTTTATAGAATTAATTATTAAAAAATCAAGTGAAATCTATAATTAGGAGGCTATCTTAAAACCTATAAGGATTGACAATTCAATTTTAAAGATAATATAAGCTTTATATATAGGTTATTTATTTTTAAAAATACAATTCTTTCAAAATCAAACTAATTTTTAGAGAATCTTTCAATTTTATAATAGTTTTCAATAAATATTTTCACTATAAATAAGAATAATAAATATCATTGATGATCTAAATAGTTATAATTGAGAAGAAATTATATTAAAAGTTTTGATAAAAGTTTTAGTTTATAGTCTTTACATAAACCATAAATCAAAAATAAAAAATCTGCTAGCTGAAAAAACCTTCTGTTTCTTTTGTTTATTTTTATAAAAAATAAAATAGATTTTTATTTATTTGTAGAAGTTATTAAAATTTATTTAACTATCAAAAATAAATAACTTCAAACTAAAAGTGATTAAAGTATCTTGTAATCTTTATCATTATTGAATAGATTTTTTTTTTATCAATTTTTATTGGAAAATATAGTTTCAACAAATAGATCTAAATATACAGTATATGGTTTATAAAGTACTTATATTGAATTAAGTTAATAACTATAGTAAAAGTAATACATATCTATAAAAGAGTAATACAAAAAAGAATACAGTATATGAAGGTATATATATATTTTATTTATTTTTTGTTACTAATAGTATTATCTAACTTCAAATCCTTATTAATAAAATTTTAGTAAATCTAATATAATCAAAAATTTAGAATTAAAAGAAATAAGTAAGATTTTTCTTTAAAAATTGAAAATGAATTTTTTAGAAAACAAAATCACTGTATATAACATAACCCTTGACAAATACTTTTTTTATAAATTTATCTATTCTATTATAGAAATATAAAAAGAAGTCTTCAATCAAAAGTCTTTTTTTAAGTATTATTTTTTATTATTAAGAGTTTAGGTTCTATCTTATTTACTTTTAACTTGAAGCTAATACTCAAGTTAATTAGAGAAACAAAGAAAAGATAAAACTGAATAAAAGATACTTTGTAGTATGTTTACAAAATATATTTAATAACAATGTAACAATTTTATTAATATAGAAATATAAAACTTTTGATAAATATTACTTTAAAAGTGATAATAAAATTAATTCACCTTTTTTATTAAATTTATTATAATAATATACAAATTTTTTGATAAATTTATTATTATAATTTTGAAATTTTTTGCTAATATAAAATAGATAAAAAATTTTTGCTAAATATAATACAACAATAGATAAAATTTTTATCAAATTTATTATAAATTTATTTTTTCAATTTTTTTTTGTTAAAATATAATAAATATTTTATATTGTATATCAAGTGGTACTAATCAAAAAATTTTTTATTAATGTTTTTATTTAGTATATATAAGATATTTTATAAATAATTTTATCTTATTTATTATCGAAATTTGTTATTCTTTAGATACAATTTAAAAAATGATATTTTATTTTCTTTATTAAATTAAATTATTCTTTAATCAAAAAATTATAATATATAGTTTATCATTGTAGATGAGTAAAAAATAAATATCAAATGTAAAAATTGTTAATAATAATTAAATTTATAATTAATTATATCAATTGTTTATTTAAGTTCATCGTAATTTTCTTTTTATTCTTTGCTAGGGGTTAAAATTATCAAGTGAATATATGGACATTGATAAAGAAATATCTTTTTTCTATTGATAATAAAAAAAGATTTTTTAAAAAATTTTATAATATAAAGTATTATTTATAATTTTAAAAATTCCCTATTGGATTTAAAATCTTTTAAATACTGTGACTTATTTTTATTTATAGATTTAAATGCAACTTTTAAAATAATTTGATTTACTAAAATTTTATTCTAGAAAATTATTGATTATATATTATATACATTATAAATGAAATTAAAAATCGGTCTTAAGTAGTTGAAATCTTTATATTTTTATATTACAAAAATGTTGATACGAAATAGGTTTTATCAAATGTTATTGTCCGTTTAGTTTTTTTTTTTTTTTTAATACAAACTTTACTTATAAATTAGGATCACGGGAATCTAAATTTAAAGAAAGGGTTCTAATTATCATACGTTTCTTGAACAACAGAGAAATCTCAGTATTCAATCTATCTAATGATATTAAAAATACAGTATATCAACTTTATAGTTCGTCCAGACTCGTGAAACACGGGTGCGGATCTATATAATAATATGCCAGAAAGTATCAAAAATTTTTGAATTTTCATTCTATGCCTGATAATTACCTAAATCAATGATAACAAGGGTATTAATATTCGAAGTAATATGTAATAGGGGTAATTCCTTGAAATCAATAATAATGCAAAATCAAAACTAATAGAGATAAGTTCATAAATGGTATTGCTAATATGTTCACCATAATTCAATTCTCTTTACGAATGACTTGTTCTCTCGCATCTCCCAATATCCCCCCTTATATATCCACTCGTCATTTTCCAGTTTGAACCATTGTGGCATCCACGTTTGACCTTTCGACTCGAGCTCTTTTCGAAAGTCTCGTTGTTTTTGTTCCAACCTAATCTTTTCTGCCTCGGCATCTGCCAAATTGCCCTCCTCAAATAATCTTTGATCAGGCCTAAACCGTGTATCGGTGTTGGGTAAATATTCCACAATATCCGGTGTCAACTCATTCAGTTCCACACAAAATTGTGTGAATCCATAATATTGTTCATAATCAGGTATGGGTGAGTTGGCCTTCCAGATTACCTTTAGTTGATTTGGACCTGTCTCGTGGAAAACTATTTCATTCCATCTGCCTACCAATTTGCCACACTTACTACCACTACGGTTATATAAAACTCCTACAATCTCACTCTTTGGTCCGTTACTAAAAAGTCCACTTTGGTTAAAGGTGATTTCACATGCTTCACCAGTTGTTTGGTTTTGAATTCGCATTACACCAGTATGTTCTAGGTACTTTGTCCCGGAAATCATGTTGCGCATCCAAGTGGACGGTTTAGAAAAGGTAAAATGATCATTATATTCTGGGATCGAAACGTGCACCGTACCGGATGGTATGAGTTCCTTAAAAAGTAGTAAAATTTAATGTTGATTTTTTTTTTTTCAAAAAAAAAAAAAAAAAAAAACCATGCATATTAAAAATATTAGGGTACATACCATTGATTTTCCTTATAATATATTTAATTCATTTAATTTAAACGCATCAAATAATCAAAATGGAAAGCAAATAATAAAATAAAAAATAATAATTACCCCAAAATTTACTCTTTACTTTGGAATCTTGCCAGAATTTCCATTTCTGCGATTCCGCATGACACTAAATCGAAAAAAAAATCCGGAGACACGCATATTAATAATAATAGATATTCATGGCAAATCACAGAACAAAGCTCTAAATTCAGCTCTTTGTTGTTTTAGTATAAATTTTACTTACTGCCATAATCGGTGGATAGTGGCTAACCTTCTCGGAAATAAATCTAAAGCCTGTCGAATCAATTGATTTTAAAATACTTCACTCTGGTATGGCAAGATAAAAAATTTGAATAAATTAACTAACCTTTATCCGGACGAACTAATTCATATGTTTCTCCATGAAGTGGATTAAAAGGTTTCCTACTAGCTCGATAGTACGTAGATGAATATCCAGATACCGCGAATGCCGACACGTATATTAATCTCATTATCGTGTCGTCAATGGTAGAAGCTTTATCTAGCAACTCGCTGTATTCCAAGTCCTCTGCCAATTTCTGAAGAAGATTTATAGGTTCATTAAGAGAAATGGGCATCGCAATTGTCGCCAAATCTTTCCCAACGTTTTTTCGCAGAATGGAAAGTAAACTGACATCATCACCACAAACCGGTGAAGGGAGGACTTTCCTCCTTCGAACAGATATTTTTCGATCAACAGCAATGACCGCCACATCTTCGGCAGGAGCTTCAACCTCCTGTTCGATAACTGAACCTTTCATTATAGTCTCTATTTCACTTTCTTCATCGCTAATTTCAATATTGGACAAATCACTATCTGTTGTCGAAGGGTCTCCAGTTAAAACAATGTCTTCAGCATCAAAAAATACGTCGGGGATGGTATTTGCTGAGCTTATTGATTGTGTGCGATTACTTAGTATTTCACTAAAATCCTTATTGTTGATTCTTTCGCTGCCCATTTCATCATGACCGTTTTCATCAAATTTATCAGTCTCTGCAAGTATCTTACGTAATTCCACATTTTCGGAGACAAGTTTGCGATATGTAATATCAATTCCCTTCCATTTTTCAATCTCTATTTGTAGTAATGCTAATGCTTGGTCCTTGCTCGTTTTAATACTTTGAATTGTTGCATTTAATTTCTCATATATTTGATCCAATGACATGTGCATCATATATGGCGGCGGCGATGGTGATGGTGATGGTGAAGTAAGTTCTGTTGGAATGGCGGTTCCTTTGTTATAATACAGAAAAATCAGAATATTGTTCTCATAATAATATCATTCACGGAAGCATGTAAAATGAAAGTAGTTACCTCTTTGTAAAGAAAATTTCTTTAACCTAAATTTCCCTTCCGCTGTCGTATTATGCTTAGGCGTAGGAGGATTTTCTACTAAAACTTTTAAACCGTCCAAGAACTCGTTTGCATTTCTAACTTCATTTTCCATATTATTGAATGTCCCATAAATCTTTCCAATATCTTCA